CCACCTAATTTTTGACTGCGGCGCTTCCACAAGGTGCGCGTCCCCGGGGCGGCGGGGGCGAGGGGGAGCCAGGGGACCGAATTTTACGCGCTTTAGTGAATCGGGGTGTCTTGCCCGGCCGACACGCGGCCGGTTATCCCCGCAAGTGAACAACGGCTCCTCGGCGAACCGCGCGTCAGGGAAATCTGGTCACGGCATACACAATGTTTGCGAGAGCAGATCTGGCCTCCGAGGGAGGGAAGCTCTCCAGGGCCGCCAGCGCTCGGTTTCCATGGTAACGGCAGAGGTCAATGGCAGAAGTCACACCTTTGCCAGCCTTGATTGCGTCTTGCAACTGTTGGAAAACACAGGGATAACAAAAATCAGCTGTGACAGTACCGGGCACGCAATTATTCCTGAGATTACAACCCTTGCGTTACCTTTTCCGGAGGTAAAGGCGATAATCAGGGCAATCAGAGAAAGCTCTCAGGATACTCGCCAACACGTGGCGGGGCTATTTAGGCTCCCGACGGCACAGAACTGCAGCCGATTTAAGCTGCGTCACCCGTTACCGCAGCACCTGAGAGATGCTGGCCCTCCCCAGGACCCACGTAAGGAGGGACAAAAAAGAAAAAGAAAAAAAGGGGGGGGGGTCTAAACATCTGGGCATTTCTCACCTTAGCCATTACCTGAGAGCTTTTGGGCAGAACACAGACCTGGCACCCCAATCGCTCGCTCGCTCGCTTTCTTGCTTTCTGCAGTCAACAACTAGATTTTCTAAACACCCATTAACATGCATTCAACTCTGTCTTCCTATAATATAGATTTCTATTCATGTACCGCCTGATTTTTTTCTATTCATATACCGCGTGATTACATTTGTTACAGTGGACAAAAGCAAATTTTGTCAGTAAAATGGAACCTGTTAAAACTTTATCCTGCTCAGCTACCTCCCTGCAAACTCCATCTTGCAGTAAGGACGGGGAATTGGGGAATGGTTCAGTGATACATCATATGAGAAAGAAAATATTTCCATGGAATAACAGACATTTCATGGCAAGTTACTGGAAAGACTTAGCACATTAAAAACTTGGGTAAATAAGAGGTTAAATTTCCTATGAAGCAATATGAATAAACTAACATGCCAAACAAAACGTGCGTTTTTTCCAATACCTCAATTTAGTCGAAGCTCCAAAGAGTAATCGTATTTATTTATTTGTTTTTACGCTGGAACAGCCTCAGGATACTCTCATGAAACACAGTAATCTCTTGTCTGCCCGAAAATACAGGTGTCCCCAGAGCAACTGGTCCAACACCACATGCTAAGCCTGGGAACCAAGGCCAGGTCTACCTTGGGGATTTGATCACGCCTAAAGCCTGAGAGCATTTCATGATCTTTAACGTGTCCTACCTGGCTTTCATACTTGGGTTTCATCACCGTGCCAGCTTTTAAAATACGGGCTTTTTTTGAACACAGATATCTACAGTAAGTAACTATAGAGTGTTTAAATTGTGTTTTCCTGCAATACACAGCACAACTTGTCCCAATTCATTTACAAGTACATCAATATAACCTTAACTATCTAGTTTAAATCATGTCAAAAATATCTGAGCCACAATCGAATTGTAGAAGTCATCCATTTCACACAGATTCCACTATTTATACAGAATGATTGACGTTTCTTATCTGAATACAAGCTGAAGTGGATTCATTACCTGTATTTAAAGATGAAATTAGTTGAAAGCATACTACAGTACTTGAGTGTTCAAGTCTCAATTCATAAAAATTTTATTCTCCACTTCAGTAGGAATCTTCCTGCGCTATGCTTTGGAAAAGAATTTATCCCGAGGCATAAATGCATTGCATAGTTAATTCAACACATCTTCTGACGAATGGGAATCAGCCATGTAAGCACAGCTGTACTCCAAAGGTGAAGAAGATAGGTGAGATGAGGTATGCTAGCAGCATGAAAAGGTGTCTTTTTTCCCTTCCTCCTTGAGTCAAGATGTTGTGAAATTGTAGAACCCACACATCTTGAAGTGAACTGTGCTGATTCACTGAAAGTCATTAACAAGATTCAGCATGCCTGGTGGTAATATTCATGTAAGTATCTACTGAGATGTAAACAAAAAGAAAATGGCCTGTAAAAAAATCTCGAGACCGGTCAAAGATCAGAGAAGCTTAGCTTAAGTGCACGTGGTTGCATATATGTACGAAGAGTACATCAAGATCCGGAAAGGAGGAGAACTCAGAAACTAATGCAAGGACACGCTCCATTGACAAACTTGCCGTGTGGCAGCACTTCGACACAGACAAGTGCCTCGAAGCCAAAGCAATTGCAAAGCTCGTTTAAAAGTATTCGCAGAGGAATCGCTATACGAAAATCAAACTTAAGCACTGCTGAATGTTTCCAAGCAAAGTGCAAGGAACCTCAACATGAAAAACACCATAACCTGCTCATAAGGCACGCTCCTTCCTCAACTTTTTAGTTAGAGGTCATCTTAGGTCACGAACAACTTGCAGTCCTTAAAAATTGACCTGTTCCATATTCTATCTGCAAAATCAGCTGGTCAGGTCAAACGAGTGTACACTGAGGCAAGCCAGTCGGGACTAACCATGCCACTTCTAGCACTGCCAGGGTTGTAAAAGGTGTGTGTGTGGGGGGGAGATGGAGGCATGGGGAATCCACTTGTCCAGTTTAGATGCATTATTTTTCAATTGCATTTGGACAGAAGCAGCTGAAATTTGAAGAAGATAAATAGAAGAGGAAAATGGACTGCTTCTGTTTGTTACTCTATACACTTATATGATGTTCCTTCATTAATTTCTTCTACATAAAAAAAAAAATCTAGCCTTTTAGCCCCGACTTATATGGCGTCATTTTGCACACCAAACGTTTCACCCATCATTAAAGCACAACCTTCTTCAAAGTGGCGTTCAATAATTTAAACAGAATACAAGACAAATTACACATTGCTTAGAAACACTTTCTCCAGCTGAACTACTCGATATACTGGAATACTGCATTTTATCTTTTTAGCTCTTGTTCAGACCACCGGTGCTGTTCCTCCTAAAGGTACCAAAAATCTGAGAGATCACAGAGGGGATCTCATTATTTAAATTCAGCTTAGAGGACAGTCTTGCAATAGCATAGCCAAGATAAGACTCAGATGGGAAGCGATTGCCCCCCAGCATACCAACACTGCTTTTACTCAGCATCTTCTATTTTCCCTCAATATATTCAGATGTTGTCCAGGCTTGACAGTTTTGCCTAGGACACATGAAGCTCAGAACCCCAAATTTTCATGCCTGAAGGTTCTTCCTTGAATCTAAGGAAAAAGCAACAGCAACAAAAAAAAATATTAATGAGCTGGGAAAAAGATGGCTGGACAGCGAGAGCAGAGAACATCAAGTCTTACTCCATTCAGCCTGCTCTTCCATCCTGCAGTGAGTTCAGCCTCACCCGTTTGACCCGCAATTCACCTATTTTCATTTCTTCTCATTTCCTAGGCAATGGCTGGAAGGGGCGGTGGTGGCTCTGATCAGGAGTTTCAGAAGGAATGAAAGAACAGAAAGATATGGAAACTAGGGAAGCGCTGAGGGTTTCCCATGCTGAATGCTTTGCATACACACAGGAGGACAAACTGCTGAGGAGCGTGAGACTGGGCTCTGTTTCTCCACCGTCTGTCTTCCCTTCTCGTCACTTCCACATCAGCTCCTGCTTCAGCCATCTCACACCAGCAAGTGATGAGGAGGGGAAAGAAACTCCTTCCAATACCTTTGTTAGGGCACCAAATTTAAGGCTAGTTCCAGCATTCCCCTCTGCACCCACACAACCTAGATATGTCCTGCAAATAAATGGTAACAAGCCATTGACACTCCTAAGCCTACTGAAAAATCAAACCAGTATGTTTGTGTCTTCCGTCTCACTGCTTATGAGCTAGCAAGACTTTAAAACTAAGTTATTTCCTGGAGTGGAACATACATGAGTGATACAAGGAAAATACGTTATCTAGGTCATACCTTACATAAAATGGCAATAAATTAACATTCTTGCTCCTACTTTGTAGCAGTCACTTTCCTTTTTCTTTCTTTCTTTCTTTTTTTTTTTTAAAACGCATTTGGGCATATTAACTAATATTAACAAGTAAGGGATATTCTGCATTTAGGATAACAACCTCGATAGGATCTGCACAGCTTTCATATTCTGCTGACTCGTCATAAATAATGAATGTAATGAAACGGTGTGTGAGGAGGAAATCTCAAACTGACTGCTCATTTTATGTATAGTACTAAACAGTCATCCAACAGAGGTTACCGCTAACCAGATTTGATAAGATTCAGCTAGATTCGAATCAATAAGGTACAGGCCAAGAGGTCTACTTCCTTTTTTCTGGTATTTGAGCTATCCCCTTCCCCCGTAGCCCATTTTTTTCTTGAAGCAGTCTGCCCTTGCAGCAAAGACGATCAACCACATACTGTTAGCAAGGATAGCCAGCAGGTCAAGGGAAGCAATTACTCCCCCCTGGTTGGCACCTGTGAAACCACATTTGGAGCAGAGCGTCCAGTTTTGGGATTCCCTGTACTAGAAAGTCATTGCCATATGGCAGCGAGTGCAGCAGAAGGCCACCAAGATTAGGGGGCTGGAGCACACAGCATACAAAGAAAGGCCAAGAATTGCCTTTTTTCCAGCCTTAGAAAGAGAAGGCTCAGGGAAGATGTTATTGCCGCCCCAACCACCAAATGGGAGGGTGCAGAGAAGTCAGAACGAGACTCTTTTCAAAAGAGATGCATGCAGGTAGGATGAGAGGCAACAGGCATAGGCAGCATGGGAAATGCTGATCAGACACAAGGAAATTTTTTCAGCAAGAAGGGGGTCAAGCCCTGGAGCAGGTTGCCCAGGGAGGCTGTGAAATCTCTGTCCTTGCAGACAGTCAAAATTCAACCGGACAAGGCCCTGAGCAATCTAATCCAAACCGGCTCTGCTTTGGGCCAAGGTTGGACCAGACATCCCCAAAAGGTCCCTTTCAACTTAAAGTAAGGCATGACTCTGTAAGTAAAGTTCAAAGTGCTATGTTTGCCTGTCTTTGTATTTCAAAAAGGCAAAAGAGAAATATTGTCATCCGTAACACAGATAGTAAGTATTTGCCTTCCAGACCAACTGTTCTGGATTCCTGCTGGACAGAATGGCTTGTCTGAGGGGAGCAGGAACTCAAAGGAAAAAAAATCTAGGGACTGCTAGATTTTGCAGACTGAAAAATCAATGAAGACAAAAGAACTGCAGGTGTGCAAGCACAAAGACAATAGATTCCAGATATTCTCTGCTGATGTATTTCTACCTTATTTTCTAGCCA